CCGCCCCGCCCCCCCCCCCCGCCCCCGCCCCCCCCCGGCCCGCCCCCGCCGCGGCGGCGGGCGCCACTCGGCCGCCGGTGGCCTCGGCGGCGGCAGCGGCGGCAGGATGCGGGCGGGCCGCGGTGCGGCGGGCGGGGAGGCAGCGGCCGAGGAGGAGGCGGCCGATGGGGCCAAGCGCGGAGGGGCGGCGGCGGCGGGGCGGGCGCGGGGCCGCGGTGGGAAGGGGTCCCCGAACGGCGAGTGCCGTCGCGGGGAACCTCCGCGCAGCCCCGGCCCGGAGCCGCCCCGCGAGCCCAAGGTCTCCTTCTCCTGCGGCGGCGGCGGCGCATCCCCCGGCGGGGCCAAGGCGGCCGAGGAGGGGGCGAGCGAGGATGCGGCCGAGGAGGTCCGCGGGAGCCAGGCCAGCTTCATGCAGCGGCAGTTCGGGGCGATGCTCCAGCCCGGCGTCAACAAGTTCTCGCTGCGGATGTTCGGCTCGCAGAAGGCGGTGGAACGGGAGCAGGAGCGCGTCAAGTCGGCGGGGGCCTGGATCATCCACCCCTACAGCGACTTCAGGTGCGGGGGTACCCGCGGGGTTCGGCCGCATCCCGCGGGGCCGGGGAGCGGGCCGGGCCGGGCCGGGGAGCGGAGCCGCCGGGTGCGGCCGGGCCGAGGGCACCTTGAGCCGCCGCCGGGCTCGGGAGGGGACGAGCCGGGCATCCCCCTCCCCAGCGCAGCAGCCGCCGCTCCGGGGATGCCGGGAGCCCTCGCGGTGCCTGGGCAAGGGCATCTCCTCGTCCCCTTGTCCTTCTCGGGGTCTCGGCCGGTTCGGCCCGGCTTGGCCCTCCCGAGCCCCACCGGGCCTTGGCTCTGTCCCCGGAGCTCCCTGGGGTTCGGTGTCCCCCTCCCCGGGCAGGGGGACGTGCTTTGCCGCTGCCTGGCAGAGCGTTGTGAAGGCTCCCCCATCCCCCAAGGAGGCCTGATTCTGTCCCTGGGCTTCAGCCGGTTTGAGGGGGATTCTTCTCGCTCCTGAGAGGACTCGAGTCCCCAGGATCCAGTGTGTCTGCCAGGCGAGGAATGACAAACCCTGGATAAAGGTTCTGCAGCTCCATCTCCTTCCCATCCCCTGAGCCCCGGCGAGCTCCAGAGTGGCAAACGCTTCCCGAGTCGTGAGGAAGCTACCGGGAGGGATGGCTGCGCTGTCTGGGGCAGGCAGCATGGCATCCTGCAGGGATGGGGAGGCCGAGACCCTGCTGGCATTGCTGGTGAGCCAGCACTGGGAGGACTCTGCTCCAGAGATCTCAAAGGGGCTGGAGGAGCATTTGACCGGGGCTGGGGGGGCCGAGGGGCTCAGCCCCAAGTTGTTGTGCTGCTGTGCTGGTGGGAGGTTTGGGGTGGCTCACAGGAGGGTTTCCTGGGTGTCTGAGTGGGGGATCCCCCTGAGACAGTTCTCAGGTTCTGTTCACTGCTGACACTGATGGGTCCCATGGGCTGGGGTTCCCTGAGGCAGGTGGAGGTGGCTGTGGGCTCAGGGCAGGGACCAGCACCTTCACCTCCTGCTTTTAGCCTTGTGTGCTGCTCCTGGGCTGCTCTGGCATCTTCCAGAGGAGCAGCTGGAGCCCTTTGGCCTCCCCTCAGGGCCAACTTCCTGCACAGGGTTTTGAGCCTTCCCACCCTGGGAACCAGCCATGGGAACCCAGTGGAGCCCCCTCCTCATCTCACTGGCTGGACACTGGGTTTTGCTGCAGATTTGGGGTGAGAAGTGGCCACACCGCCCGGCCACTGCTGGTCCTGTGGCGGAGGGAACTCCACTGTCCCTGCCGTGACAGAGCAGAGGTGGTAGTGCCACCTCTGGGGGCTGCTGAGCAGGAGGACCTGGCCCCTCCTCACTCCCTGTGCTCCTCCTCACCCTCAGCAGCTGTGGGATGTTGGGGGAGGCTGGGAATGGGGTGACCCCCATGCCTGCGTCAGGGCAGAGCCTGCCCTGCTTCTCTGAGCTGGCAGAGCCCACAGTGCTGCCAAGAGCGGGGATCTCCCTCCAGTGCGCCTGCAGTGGGCTTGAGGTCTCAGAGGATTCCCCAGAGTGCAGCAGCATCACTCCCTGGACTGGTGCTTGCAGCAGGCAGGTGGGTGCTGGAGTGACCTTGGGGAGTCACCCTGGCTGTCCTGCCCTGCACGGGCTTCGTCCTCCTGGAACCGCTATCGAGACTTGAAACCCATTGGGGCAGAGTGGTTGCCTGTGTTCTGATGCTGGAAGTGGCGTAGGAGAGTTCCCTGCCCAGTGGGGAGGAGCTGCAGGCAGAGCCATGGCATCCTCCAGCTCCACAACTGTGCACAGGAACAGGATCGGCCCACGCGAGGCTGGGCTGAGGAACCCGCTCTGCCTGTTGGGGACATGAGTGCATCCCTCCCCTGTTGTCCTGCCTTGAAATAATCAAAAAAGCATTTATCCTGTAATGATAATGGAGTGTGACCCTGCAAAACCCATTTCCCATCTTAAGAGAAAATCATTACCCATCTGCATCTGTGACATCATTTCATAATCGGCATCATTTAGCAATCCTGGCTCCTCACGGCCGTGGTGCTGCCATCGTTCACGCACAATTCAGGGCAGATTTGCTCCAGGAACCAAAGTTGCTGTTTACATAAATATTGAATGACAAGGAAGCAATCAGGGCGGCTGGTGAGATCCTGAGCTGTGAATCTGATCAAAGAGACCTTGTAAGTGTGTGCTGGAGCAGGGCCACCTCCTTTTGGGTCTCTGGAGGAACAGCCAAGCCAGCACCAACTCCTTCATTGCTTCTTTTGGGGTTTCTGCACCAGC